AGGTATTTTCAAAATACCTTTTATAAGACAACGTGCAGTGAAATGGGAGGAACTAGAGTTTACTTTGTCATAAGGTAGTGTGATTATGCATGCCACGAAGCATTTGCTAGTCTAGTACTGCATGGAGAAATTAGCGTTTGCATGCGCATTGTGAGCCTTTAAGACTATAAAATATTCACCACACCATATTGTATGAGAGATAATTACCATTTACACTAGTGTTCCGCCGTATAAAATCCGTCAAGAGTTTTTGCAAAGTTGTCATCATGATTGTGAGTGTGCATGGGGATATAATTAAGAGACCCTCTAGCTCATGTTCATGTTTCCGGGTCTCTTGTATGATTGCTAAATCATTCGCTCAAATCCTATAAGTAGGCAATGAGAATGCAAACAACACGAACATTATTGCTCATCATTTGAAACCGGATCATCGTGTGTATAGGAATGATGTGTCACACTTTGCAATGATGTATAGCGTATATATTGAGCACAGCAGTGTTAAAAATAATGCCTGATGAAAAATTATTATATTATTATACAAGTGTAAGACGCGAGGGTAACAAAATGCATGAAATATCACGGTTATGGAAGACTATCTGCTTCAGCAACGAAATGAAATCAGTCTTACTTCTACCCTAATTACTTCAATAGTTTGTGTGGCGTGTGTGTTGTGGGCATGCGTGCAGGCATACGAGAATTGCATGAGCCCAGTGCGCGCGTGCGTGCGCAAAGGGTGTGTATGTGCATGCGTGCGTGCGTGCGTTTGTATGCGAGAGTGATTTTGTATACTTCCTGGTATGTACTGTTAGTTTGGTTCATTTGGGTTATGTTTGATCTAATATTATGTGCCATCATCAGTTGCTTACGGCAATAATGTGCAAATCATACTATAAACCCTTATTGCAACAGAGATTGCGCCTAAGGGCAAATCGTTGAGAGATAACTAGGTAAGCTTTCATGAAACTACACAATGAATCTAACCGTCACGACTCTAGCATATGATACACGATCTACTGATAGCGGATTAGCCAGCGTGAAACAGGTAATATATTAGAACTGTCCAACGATGATTGTAGCCGCTCCTTAATTGTCCCTGCTTCGTAGAAGTGTGCGTGCGGTCGACACTGCGTGCTAGTGGCTGCCCTGTTTATATCACACGTATGGGTCATTGGGTGAAGTAGGATTCAATTTTGTCAAATAGCCTGTATAGCGCACAATATATCAACAATAGCTAACTAGACAGAGGGCACTCAAAGAGAGTGCATACCTCCGCGAGCGTGTAACATGTATACATGTGTATAACAGCTGGCTCGCTGTTGGCTGCTGCTGACTGGACGCCCTAAGGCGAGCTGCTGCTGACTAGACGAACTAAAGCGAGCTGCTGCTGACTGGACGCCCTAAGGCGAGCTGCTGCTGACTGGACGCCTTAAGGCGAGCTGCTGCTGAATCGATCACGCCAACGCGTGTAACATGTATACATGTGTATAACAGCTGGCTCGCTGCTGGCTACACACACACACGAACACACACACGAACACACACACGAGAGCGATTACATTACCTCCCTGCAACTCCGTTGCGCGGAGGTAATAAACATTAGGTAAGAACAGCTAAGGTATTTATTAGCTCTTGATATAAAAGTATATCAGTAACCATGCCCTTCGTAGCGGTACGTAGCAATTTACCCCAATGCAATCTTCAGTCAGATATTGGCGAACCGATTTCCCAACCATCTGTGGCTGAAAATCATCACGTTATGTAACTCTTAAAGTGCGCAAGCAGCTAGATAAGACGTTCCTCGAGTGCGACGGGAATTTTTAGCCGTTAATGTGAACAGACCAGAGAATGACGGTATGGCGCACGTACACCGCATTGGAGTCTTGCGTGACGGTTTGCACTTGAAGGGAAAGCTCTTCTCATATATCCACGATGTTATCGATGTTAGCTCACGAATGGCATCTCCGCGAAGTTTATTGCTAATATTGTGTCTGGTGTCGCCGTCGCAGTAGTGTTGCAGTAGTCTAGTGTCGCTATGTGTCTAGTGTCGCTATGTGTCTAGTGTAGCTATGTGTCTAGTGTAGCTATGTGTCTAGTACATAGCTCCCTCCTCGTACGGTTGGTCTGTTTGCCAGTTACCGGTGAGCACTGCATAGCGACAACGTTCTACTGCGCCGTCGACAACACGTGCCTGCCGCCGGCGTGGCTGTGTGACGGCGACGAGGACTGCTCGGACGGCTCCGACGAGACCGACTGCAGTAAGTGGCTCGCGTGGTGTGTCGTCGTAGCCCGACAGATTCTAATCGTCGTCGTTTCCGTATTTTTGTTCTTTTCTAGAAGGTGCAGGTAATTGCGATGCGGACGAGTTTCGCTGCCCCAAGGATAACTCGTGCCTGCCCATTACGTGGGTCTGTGATAGCGATAACGATTGCGATTACTGCCCGAACAACGCGACGGCGTGCGCAAACGGTTACGATGAGCAAAACTGCAGTGAGTAGCAATGTTGTGTTGTCGTCCATAAATAAACAACTGCCATCGTCGTTGGTGAGGTGTGCACGCACCCCTCGATTGTCTCCGAAGCTCTTAGAAATTGCTACAGTAAATGTATGTTTCTCGCCAGAAGATATTGACATGTTTCCGAAAATAGCAAAGTTGCTACAGTTCTCCCCCGTTATTGATGCAGCACTCAATTTTCATTTCTTGTGCCAGCCTCTTTGGCCCAGTAATTGGCTTATTCGTGCCTTTTGGTGAGATTAGTGAATACTAGAATTTTTCGTATTCTTTTGCCAAAAATAATCTGTAAAAAGGAAAAAAAGACGCATACATTGACACCCTTTCCTTAATTGTTTATGTAATAAAACAGCAAGCCTTCTAAGAGCCAAGGGACAATTTAGGATCCAAGTACCCAAGAGCACAGTCGATTGCATGCAAGAGCGTATAAACCCTGTATGCTTTTATAGGTTTATATGCTTTGGATTGTACTGTATTAAGTTATTTTGGTTATAAAGGAATATTTTATTTTTAGGTGCATGTTGTAAATGTTGGTGCAGGTTATTTGCATTACAATATTTTAATATGTTGCTTGTAATGATAAGTAATATGTTGAAAATTCGCTTTACACTGCAACCAACTAAAAAAATTAATGGTCGCAACCCTATTGTGCATTATTTTTTATCACAGGTTTGATATGGCACGTACGGTTTATATGTGGAGCTGTGATGTTATTATATACGCGGTTGATTATCGCATGACCCATGCATGTGATCAGGAGTTCTTTTTCACTCCTGATGTGACACACTTTGCTTTATGTGTTCTCCAATTTCACCATCGCGATTTAATGCGACTAAATTAACAACAGTTTTCATGTTATACCAGCAGGCAGGCAATATGTTTCCATATATCGTGCAGTACAAATTACGGATAATGTACCAGGTCGTGGTTCTAATCATACGGAATATTACATCACGTTTGTGGGAGGATAAAATATAGCTTTACCAATTCGGCCTGGACTGGGCTGTAGAGCTAGCAGAAATATTAACTTCAATGATAAAAAATGATCTAAAATGTTCGTAGATTTTGCACGTTAGTTGGTATCATGGAAACATATTGTAAGCCTGTTGTGTATTCGCTTATTAGCATGCGCCAGTCGTCCCTCACTACACTTATCCAAACGTACTCCTCACTACACCCACGCACACCTATTCCTCACTACATCCAGGTATCAGACCCCTCACTACACCCAGGTATCAGACCCCTCACTACACCCAGTCACATCTACCCCTCACTACACCCAGGTATCAGACCCCTCACTACACCCAGGTATCAGACCCCTCACTACACTCAGGTATCAGAACCCTCACTACACCCAGGTATCAAACTCCTCACTACACCCAGGTATCAAACCCCTCACTACACCCAGGTATCAGACCCCTCACTACACCCAGGTATCAGACCCCTCACTACACCCAGGTATCAGACCCCTCACTACACCCAGGTATCAGACCCCTCACTACACCCAGGGTATCAGCCCCTCACTTACACCAGCGTATCAAACTCCTCACTACACCAAAGGTATGCAGACCCTCCACTACACGGCGAGGTATCAGACCGCTCACCTAACACCCAGGTATCAGACACCCTGCACTACCACCCAGGTACAGACCCCTCACTCAGCACGCAGGTATCAGACGCCTCACTACACCAGGTATCAGACCCCCACTACACCCAGGTATCAGACGCCTCAACTACACCCAGGTATCAGCCGCCCTCACTACACCCAGTCACATCTACCCCTCACTACACCTAGTATCAGACCCCTCACTACACCCACAGGTAATCAGACCCCTCATACACCCAGGTATCAGACCCCTCACTACACCCAGGTTCAGTAACGCGCTCACTACACCCAGGTATGCAGACCCCTCACTACACCAAGGTTATCAGACCTCTCACTAACCCGCAGGTATCAGAACCCGCCCCCACCTACACCGCAGGTATCAGTCCCCTCACTACACCCAGGTAATCAGACCCTCATACCCCAGGTATCAGACCCGCTCTAACTACACTCAGGTATCAGAACCCTCACTACACGCCAGGTATCAAACCCTCACTACACCCAGGGTATCAAACCCCTCATTACACCCAGGTATCAGACCGCCTCACTACACCAGGTATCAGACCCCCTCGACTACACCCAGGTATTCGACGCCCTCACTAAGCCCCAGGTATCAAACCGCCTCACCTACACGCAGGTATGCAGACCGCTCCACTCCCACCAGTCACATCTACCCTCACTACACCTAGGTATCAGATCCCCTCACTACTACCAGGTATCAACCCGCTCCACACACCCAGGTATCAGACGCTCTCACTAACCCAGGTATGCAAACCTTCACTACACCCAGGTATCAGACCCCTCACATACAGCCCAAGGGCGTATCAGACCCCTCACTACACGCAAGGTATCAGACCCCTCACCTACACTCAGGTATCAGAACCCTCACTACACCCAGGTATCAACTCCTCACTACACCAGGTATCAACCCCTCATTACACCAGGTTATCAGACCCCTCACTACACCAGGTATCAGACCCCTCACTACCGGCAGGTATCAGACGCCCTTCACTACACCGCAGGTATCAGACCCTCACTACACCCAGGTATCAAACTCGCTCACTACAAGCCGCAGGTATCAGACCCTCACTACAGCGCAGTGTATCAGACCGCTCACTACACCCAGGTATAGACCCCTCACTACACCCAGGTATCAGACCCCTCACTACACCCAGGTATCAGACCCCTCACTACACCCAGGTATCAGACCCCTCACTACACCCAGGGCGTATCAGACCCCTCACTACACCCAGTCGCATCTACAGCTCACTTCACGCAGTACCACATGTACCACATGTACCCCTCATTACATCCTGCCACATCTATTCCTCACTACATCCATCCACATCAGAAGTAAATAATCTCACATTTTTGAGATTATTTACTCCTGATCCACATCTACACTTCGTCGTAATCAGCCACATCTACCTTTCACTACCTATAGCAATATCTGCCTCTCATTTCATACAAACGCGTCTACTTACCACTTCACCATAGTATCATGATCAGACACACCACTTCACTTCACCCAGTCATACCACCTCGCAATTATTTATGAGGATCACAAATTCACGTTTTGCAATGGCATAAAATTCATGTCATTTTGAACGCATTAAAATGTGTCATATATCAAATGTCATTTTCACTGTCAAGGAAAAACATTCTTTTGTCACCTCCATAAATAATTGCACAGCACCCGCTCATTAGTCTATTAGTCTCATTAGTAATCTATGGAACTCACACGTAGTTAGTGGCAGTTGTTTTTAATGGTGACACTAACATGTGAACAGAACTGCTGGCGTTCTGCTTATATTAGTCCCCGATTAGACGTGTTCGTGTATAACTCTACTTGTCTGCATGTTAAAATGTCTAAATACTAATGATCACTTAGCTACCGAGTAATATGGTCCGTAGTCAACCGTCTATTGTCTATATCACGTGTATATTCAACAACGGGTGCATTCTCATACGTATATCCGGTTGCTACGAGTTCTTTGGCCTGGTAAAGTCTAATATAAAACTTGATGGTCGTGAGCTGGGGGTGAGTTTTACCAATCGTTAGATCTTGTGTCAGTCGGATATGTGGAACATAGGCATTCTGTTGTTGGATTAATTCACATAATTTCAGGAAGTTTTATGTTTAAAATTGTGTAGGTGTTTGTATTATTTAGATCACTAAACATTAACATATATGTGTCTCGTGTTATGGTTACTAAGTGTTCTCGTATACGGTTTATTTGCTTACAATGATAGGGTAAACGATTCCTCGTGTATTTGTCACGAAATTACCCAACGTATGACTGCAATCCAACCCAGGGTTATTTCCTGGCGCCGTAAGCAAGACTTAGTGTTTTGACAGCCGACTGTGCAAAACGCAATCTCAACCAGGAAACCACGCCATATTGTCTGCCATGCAAATTGTGTGTGAGCGAGAATTATAAGCGAGAAGTGGGGAGCGTGTAACATAGTTGTAGTCGAATACTGAGTGAGCTGGTGAGGTGCGGATGGTATAGTAGATATAGGTGAGGCGGTAGGTCCGCTATGAAGATGATGTGGCTTTGTGTAGTGGGATTGGTGATGAAATGTCGTGGGTAGTTCGTAGATAGGCGGCGTGCGTAAGTAGTGGGTTTGTCGTTGCGGACACAGGCACTTGGAAGTCTCAATAAAACAAATTAATGGTAAATAAACACGAAATGTACCAAAGTCTTAATGTTTCTCTACTATATAGTATTTCGCCTATAATCACCTGTAAATTCCGGTCAAATGCTCATCTGCAACACACAAGTACACCGCACGGTGTTCTGCGTGCACAAACAACATGAATAAGAGGGAATACAACTCTCTTATTCATGCTGTTTGTGCACGCAGCACAGGGCGGGCGGCGAAATTTTTTTTCCCACGAGAGTTCCGGACCCCAGCCAATCAGCGCACTCCATTTCACTCGACTTCCTCGAAGCAACAATGTAAAATTTATACACCCTAACCCTAACCCTAAACCTAACCCGAACCCTAACCCTAACACTAACTATAATCCAACCAGGTTCGTCTTATATAGACACCATATATTACAAAACACTATCTGTGGTGGGTCCGGAACTCTCGTGGGAAAAAAAATTTCGCGGGCGGGCGTGCGGTGTACTTGTGTGTTGCAGATGAGTATTTGACCGGCATTTACAGGTGATTATAGGCGAAATAGAGTAGAGAAACATTAAGACTTTGGTACATTTCGTGTTTATTTACCTTTTTTTTTTTATTGAGACGTTTCAAGTGCCTGTGGTTGCGGAGTGGATCAAAGCAGCTGCGTGTATAATTCTACTAGTTCTTCCTTTAGCGGGAGCGAAGGGGCTACATCACAGGCACTTGGAACGTTTCAATGCTAAAATGGTGGTAAATAAACACGAAATGTATTTACTAGCTACCAACGTCTCAATGTTTATGTTCTCTCCATTCACTAATAATTCAACGTAAATACGGTCAAATGGTTCTTTGCTAGATACGCAGTCTCACAGCACGCACGCACGCGCCACTGTGCACAAATTCACAGAAAGATAGTGTGTCTCTATCTTTCTGTGAGTTTGGTGTCACAGTGGCGTGTGTGCGGTGAAATTGTGTGTTGCAGAGGGACGCCGACCTGAATTGCATTTACCTCGAACTATTAATAATAATAGGCGAAAGAGAATAGATAAACATTATGACTTTATATTTATACATTTCGTGTTTATTTACCATCATTTAATTATTGAAAGCTACTTGATAAAGCTACTGCGTGTAGTGCTTGCGTGGAAGGGAGCCTTAGCTTGAATAGCGGATAGATGTTGTTGGGTGTAGTGAGGCTTAGATGTCGCTGTGACTGGAGGTTGCAGTGAGAGATAGATGTTACCGTGGCTGGGTGTAGTGATGAGGCAAGCCATAATGAGATAGGTGGGTGAAGATGTGGCTACATAGATTTAGTCAGGTCTGTTGGTGTGGAGTAGGTGATTGGTATACATCGTTGCATGCATGGATTTAGTAACAGGTAGGTAAGCGTCAAGTGTGTGTTGGGAGAGGTTGACTGTAGTTGTAGTGAAGACTACTTGTGGCTGGGCGTAGTGAGTGGATAGGCGTGTGATGGGGTATAGTGAGGAATAGGTGTGTGTAGGCGAAGTGAGGAATAGGTTTAGTGAGGTGTAGGGGTGCGAGTGTGACGTGAGGGATAGGGGTGGAGGGTATAGTGAGGGGTAGCTATGTGAGTGTTTAGTGAGGTGTAGGTATGTGAGTGTTTAGTGAGGTGTAGGTATGTGAGTGTTTAGTGAGATGTAGGTATGTGAGTGTTTAGTGAGGTGTAGGTATGTGAGTGTGATGTGAGATATATGTGTGTGATGGTATAGTCTATGACACCAGCGAGGGTTTCATGCAGCTGGGCGCTGTTGCTAACGAGGGTTTCATGCAGCTGGGCGCTGTTGCTAACGAGGGTTTCATGCAGCTGGGCGCTGTTGCTAACGAAGGTTTCATGCAGTTGGGCGCTGTTGCTAACGAGGGTTTCTTGCAGCTGGGAGGACTTGCCCGACGAATTACTTCCAGTGTGAGACGACAGGTCGCTGCATAGTGCAGAGCTGGGTCTGCGACAAATACGACGACTGTGGCGACTTCTCTGATGAGCGACAGAACTGTCGTAAGTACTCTCACCGTGCACTAGGCGGCAGCACTCGTATTATACATTACGTCGATATTTTCGATGGTTTTGGATCATGAGCGTCATCATCATAGTGTTTACATCATGAGCATGATTACCGGGGACAATATTTGTGTTCGATTAGTGGCTGTAAATTTAATGTATATATATTAGAATAAAACGAGGAATATTTCGTGAAAGCATTAGATACATGGCCGAATTCAAGTTCAGTTCAAAATTGTAGACTTAAGACAGCTAGGTACAGAATTATGCCTAGACTCTAAAATTGCAAAATTATTGCAGTACTATTAGTATTAAAGTAGTTTGTGGTCTAGCAAACACAATCCTGGTTCAGAATGCTCACAGCTTTAAAACATATAGTTTTAATTTCGTGATCGGGGATAAAAACGATTTTCAATAAGACTAACGTTGGTAGCTATGGAAAACTGCTCAGTCACCATGATTTTAGTATTTGGCTTTATATGACATCATTTCAGAATATTGCCTATTCCATGCATGCACTCGCCTTTCGCTCCCTCTCACAATACTTACATGCAGTCTCTCTGACAAAACATTGAGTGACATAATTGTTCGCGATCGAGTCAAAGGCACGAGTCATCACAATAAAAACCCATTAATAGACCTGTAGTAGCAAGAGACCTATGATGGCATTGGGGCGGTGCGATTTCCACGCATAATAGGAAGAGTTTATTAAGGAGTCATGCTGATTATAGTGAAGACGTGTACGTAGTGTAGGCCTATTGTAATCAGCAGCGGTGCACCATCGTCTGTTGCAGCTCCTCAGACGTGTGAGAGCACCGAGTTTCAGTGTACGAATGGCTCGCGATGCATCTCAAAGATCTGGACCTGCGACAACAAAACCGACTGCGATGACGGCAGTGATGAAGGCATGATGAACAAGTGTGGTGTGTACAATAGTATAGACTATTATGTTATAGACTTCTCCCATGTTGTCGCTGCGGCTGAGTCCGTAAAGTTCTCAACCGCTGTGAACATCATTGATTCTCAAAGACCTGCGGAGCTGGCTAATGTGTACCTGAATAGGTTTATGTCGTTTTTCAAGTCAAAGATCACGTATTATAAAAACCGTTGTTCACAGTTACCGCGTTGATGACATTATCCTGCCTGTTTATGTCCACCCGTTTTGCAATTTTAATGATATAATGTATTCCTGCTATCTGTTTATAGTGTATAGAGTATGCCAGCAAGATGACTTCCGATGTAATGATACACAGTTGTGCATTGAAAAGGAGAAAAAGTGCAATGGCTACTTTGACTGCCGAGATGAAAGCGATGAAAAGGATTGCGGTGTGTATTTCTTTATGTGCATATATGCTATTCAGTGCACTAGGAAATGACACCTACAAATAATTCTACCAAAAACTAAACTATCATGCAAAATAAACACGAGAACACATTTCATTTCACATCGAGTGGAGTGCTTCTAATATAGGTAAAAAGAGGTGCTCTGATGTGTTATCTTCAACGTGGTGTTTGCCAAGAAATATGGTTTAGAAATGAGGCATTCTACGTGGGTAGGTTGTTTGTTGTTTTGTGGAAGAGACAGGATCAAAGGCAACCGCAAAGTAATGTACGAGCAATTCAAATGCTGCACGTTTTGTGCACATGACTTATTGCTGGTAAAGAAATGGAAACTGGCGACAAGAGATTATCTAGCTACACTGTGAAACCAATGTCAGGGCATATAATACAAAGCACGATTGTGTACGAGCAGGCGAGGACCACAAGGCATGCCAGACGGGCTACTTCCGATGTGGCCACGGAAACAAATGCATTCCGAATAGCTGGCTCTGCGACCGGGATGATGACTGCTCTGACGGGAGCGATGAACCGTCATCCTGTGGTGAGTGAGCAGTCGGCGTATATCATTTTTCAATTGCTCTGATTACACGTGTCTTCGTATGGAACAATGACAGAATCTGTTAATCGTTCATCTCGATATGCTCTCTGGTCAATTTTATGTGCCAGTTAGCTGTTAGCTGTTTGCGTGTGCGTGCGCGTGTGTGAAGGGGATGTGTTGGTTATTATCTGTAACGAGAACTTTGTTGGTATAAAGGTGATCGCTGAAAGTTTTTTCACTTGTTGTTGCAGTCAGTATATCGTTTCAGCAGACAGTTTCATCTGCGGTTACAGTTTTGACCTAAATAACATAACGTAGGAATGGAGTTTGTGTTTGATTTTGTGACCATTTGTTTGGTGGGGTGAACCTAATGTGTTTGTAAGTCCTGCTTGTTCATTGGACAATAGAATCTTCATCCTCTTTAGTTATAAATCATATCGTGAATGGATTAATATTTGAGTGGGGCATGCAAAGGCTATATGCTCAAAACAGTTTGTGAAGTAGTGTGGGGGGTTTTATTGTGTGCGTGCAATAGAGGGTAGAACACAGGTGAGAGAGTCCACTGATTGCCATTTCCATTATCCGTTCGCGTTGAAAAGCGTTTTGAGTGGGCTTATCTTTCATACTCGCATCTGTCGATCTTGTAGCATACCCACCGTGCGGAGATGGCAAATTCACCTGCCGAAACAACAAGTGCATTCTGAACTCATGGGTCTGTGATGGCTGGGATGACTGTGGAGACATGACGGATGAGCTGAAATGTAACTAGTATACCAACTGTGGGCCCAGGGACTTTGGAATCAGTTTACCTCTGATCATTGTATTGTGGTCATATTCTTTCTTGCAACCGATCCGCGTATAGGATCCAATGTGTATTACACAGGCTGCAGTTGTGTCACAAACTCGTTGTAATTACATGTAAGAGTTGCTGCTAATTAGAATGGATAATTATTTAATCACACAATAACCTGAATCATTCGTGTAATGCATTTGCTTCATGAGGAATAAGATCATTATTGCAGGTAAATACACCAGCATGTATAAGCACAGAACTTTGCGTTCTCCTGTGTATGGGAAACAGTGACCGATTTTACATTTTCAAACAAGAACTCCTGACTACACGAGGATGTGATTTCATGTTTCAGGTGGAAAACACACGTGTCCGGTTAACAAATGGGCGTGTCCGAATGAACCCGGCTGCATCAATATCACGTCAATTTGCGACGGCATGAACGACTGCCCTAGCGGTGGCGACGAGAAGAACTGCAGTAAGAACAGTATTGCAGTGAATTATAAGTGCCAAGGCAGTGATGAGCATTAATGTCGAGTTCGATTTCTATTAACTTAACAAAGGTGGTCAATTTGGCTGGGCCGATGTAACGAATGACCCGTTACCCTTAAGTTAAGTTGAATTCTTGCTGGTTCGATTTGTCAGCAGTATTTAAATGCCGTTTGGAACACCTGTGCTCCTAGACTGTAGTAATTGAGCTGTAGTTCAGAGAAACTTGATATCAAACAGCAGTGGTTATCTCGTACAGGGGCATTGCAGAGTTGCTATATCATACCGACTTTGTGCGTGGATGAGGGTGGGGTGGTTGAAATACTTGAATAAATTTGTGCAATTTAATTGCTTATGAAATGGTGCTCGATGTGGAATTCTGAACAAGTGAAATGTAGTTGTGTAGTTAACCTCTAATCTTTATGGGCGGCACTCAGTGACCATTTTCTTACCAGCAAGACCCAGCCTTCTGGACTTTCTCACTTTGCATATGCTCACGTACTCGTACTGACTTATAATTCATTCACTGAGCTTTTAAAGTGATCAGTTGTAAGTGGTTGGCAGACCTTCAACTTCACAAAGCCTTTCACAGTGTATCCTTATGTGTACAAATTAGAAACCTGAGCGTAGCCATGCTAGGGAAACCATGGTACAATTCATATCAAATGTGGGTGATTCATGTGTTTGCATCTAGGTTCAACTGGCTGCAGTGACTTGTCATGTGACTATGAGTGCCGAGGGTCCCCAGATGGTGGCATCTGCTACTGCCAGAAAGGCTACCACGTTAGCCCTATCAACAACCGTGTGTGCTTTGGTGAGTGGTGGCGAGGGTTATCATCTGTTAACTGGTTGTTTATTGAGAACCTACCAATTTATATCACTCATTTACTGTTATGTGACTGCTATGTATCCATACGAAAGAGGTGGTAGAGGTTAGGGTTAGTACAGGCTGTGTAATGTGGTGATGCGGGGATGGTATGGCAGTTGGCATTCAGGAAATGCAAGCTAGAAGCATCGTGATGTAGTGATAAGTGTTGATGTTGTGGTTATGCTTTGTGAAAGATATGATTATTTATATACCAACATTTTTTAGATGTTAATGAGTGCCATGAGTGGGGATATTGTGACCAGATCTGCACAAACCTAGATGGCTCCTATCGCTGCAGCTGCGTGGATGGGTATTTGCGGGATAAGGACTTCTGCAAGGCTTTCAACAGTAAGTGGATCTATTCTTTATCTGAAATTAGGGTCGTCTATGTGCATGCATTCTCGCGTATGAGCATGCACGTAGCCGTATCTATGGAAGGTGTATAGATGGGTTGCTATCTAATTTCTTGCAGGCTCTGAGGTGAAAATAATCTACTCGAGGCGAGCTGAGATAGTACTCATGGACCGCAATGCCAACCATATAATGAATATTGCTACCAATCACACATACGCCGTCGGTGTAGACTACCATTATACCATGGGAAAAATCTTTTTCTCCGACTACGATGAGAAAAAGGTGAGTGGTGGCAGAATGGCTGGTTTGAGTTGGTAAACCCTGGGCCAGGAGTTGCTGACTAGAGTTGCTAAGACTAGTGCCAAAAGTAGAAGATTAGAGTTGGGAAAACGTCCCAAGAGCAGACTCTTGCCAAAAGTTGCAAGCTAAAGTTGCAAAGGCTTGTGCTGAGCGTAGTGTGTTCTAGTTGGGAAATCTTGTGCCAAAACAACTAGCTTAACAAACTACTTAACTAGGGTTGGTAAGGGCTTATGCAAGCATGCCAGGCCATAACATATACTGTTTGAATTAAGTGTAACAAGCTAGAGTATTTGATTGCTATTGCAGATCTATTCAGTGAACATCGATGGGACAGATGAGAAAGAGGTGATATCAGTAGGGCTTCAAAACCCTGTAGGCCTTGCTGTGGACTGGGTTGGAAATAACCTATACTACACTGACAGAACTGGTAGGTACAGCTATCTTTGTGTGTAATACTCTAATATGAGATACTATCATCGATTGTATATATTGTCATCAATGTTTTTTTATGTTAAATGAGTTTTTGTCAAAAATTTGACACACTTTTAGGCAAAAGAATAGAAGTCTCAGATTTGGAAGGAAAATACAGGTCTGTACTCATCACTGGATTGGAGGGACCAATGGATGTAGTTGTGGATCCTAGCACTGGGTAAGACTAGGTGAAAGTAATTATTTTATTTAAAGTTAATATAATATTTAAAAATATGAGGTAGCTAAGCCATCAGTCATATGGTGTCAGATTTTGCATTGTCACAAGTTGACTAGGAATGTATTCTGATGTGTGCTTTATCAAGGTTAAGGCCATCTTTAAGGTTATTAAAGACTGTATCAAGCAAGTTGTAATTAATTACTACCACAATGAAGTAGTTTTAAGCAGTTAATTATAACAAGTAGAAACCTCTAATGTTGTGCTGCTTTCTCGGTGCTAGGTACTTGTTCTTTGCCGATCGAGGCAAAAATAATGGTAGTGTGTGGAGAGCCAACATGGATGGTACTGATGTACAGCTGCTGGTTGGTACTAACATCATATACGCCAGCAGTCTCACGTTGGACTACGTCACCAAGCGCATCTTCTGGGTGGATAACAAGATCGATTATATGCAGTCATGCACATACAGCGGTCAAAACAGGTAGCACACACCTAGATGATATTATTACTCTTATTTCGGATAGGCAGCATGTCTTTCTATTAGTGGGGATGTGTAGAGCTAGACGCTACTGTAAAGTTTGGTTTATTGGCAGATTATTGATAATCAAATCAAAATACGGAAATTGGGGAAGAAATCTGTGACAAATGGCAATGCATTGTCAATGCAGTGTCATTTCATGCAAGTGGATGCTTAGCGTGTGACTAGACCAAGCAACAAGTAGTGTATTGATAATTCCCATTTATCCAACATCTATCATTTCTCGTAGTCAAGTGATCCTCTCTGGGGGCATTAACATTCCGCACCCGTTTGGCATCGCAACATTCGAGGACAAGATGTACTGGACTGACTGGACACGGCTGGGTGTAATGGAAGTGAGGAAGTTTGGCGGTAATAGCACAATACGCGGTGTGCATCTCAACCCCACGAGCCATGTGAAACCCATGGGTATCGTGACGTACCATGCTTACCGACAGAAGCCAGGTAATAATTGTGGTAAAGCTACTGTAATGTGGCACGCTCTCGCGACAAGGGAGAGTTAAACTAAAAATGCCCGTTTAATGGGTCTAGGCAGACATGATATTTATTTCGTGCAGCATACATGTCAGTAACACAAAATCACAATTGTCGCAGGAAACTACTAGTACTAACCCTCAGGCCAATGTTAAACAGTACTTATTTTATCATAACATCTTCATATTTAGTTCCTCCAGTATATGATATAAATCTCATATGATCCATATAACAAATACAAATTCTTCAACAGATCTATATGTAAAATGAGTACCATATCATTTGTACTCCGAAAAATGTGCTGTTATTCATCCGATAATGATCCAACCATTCGCACTAACGCCCACCGCTGTCTCTCTTATGTTCGTCTGCTGCTCCGCATTCATCTGAACTCTGCGTCGCGACTCGACAGCTGAGAATCCCTGCGGCACGGACAACGGAGGCTGCGCGCATCTGTGCGTGCTCAGCCGCAGCGTTCCGAGCTCGATCACCATCGGCTACAAGTGCCGCTGCAGCATCGGCTACAGCCTCGGCACGGACGAGAGAAGCTGCATCGGTATGTGCTCTACTCGCGGATGCCTTGCCACATTTCGTAGTCAGTCAGGTAGCATTATTATTGAGTGTGTCTCGGTTGCGCTTGAAAAGAGACAGGCCGAGAGTGTGGCAGAGGGACTGGGAGAAATAGAGATAGATCGATAGTAAGAGAGAGGTAGAGAAAGAGGGAGATGGAGGAAGATCAGGGAAGAGGGTGGGGGGAGCGAGAAGGCAGTGCCTGCGAAAGATATCGACTGAGACAGAGACCAATGTAGAGACAGATCGAGAGAAGGTGGCAGTGCAAAAGCGAAAGTTAAAGTGCCTGGGGGTGAAGCAGGTAGTGATAGAGAGAGCAGAAGAGAGAAAGAGCGAGAGAGCGAGAGAGAAAGGGGGCAGGGATTCGAGAGATAGCATATAGGTTCCAGAGAGTAGGCGTTTAAGAGAGCAGTCTCTCATCTGCACACGATTCGCCATTACAGAAGAGAAGGAGTTCATCGTCTTCTCGACGCAGACGACCGTTAACGGCATCGGCCTGCCGAAGGGTCGCGAGGTGGTGCCGAGCACGGTCATGATGCCCATCAGCAGCACGTTCTCCAACTTTGCGACGCTCGACGTGGACGTGCGCAATCGCTGGATCTACTACGCCGACACGCTCACCGACGTCGTGCACAGGATCCGCCCCGACGGAACAGGTACGCATGACCCAGAGTCCGGGATCCCGGGATACTTCCTAACGGAACAGGTACGCATGACCCAGAGTCCGGGATCCCGGGATACTTCCTAACGGAACAGGTACGCATGACCCAGAGTCCGGGATCCCGGGATACTTCCTAACGGAACAGGTAAGGAAATGACCCAGAGTCCAGGATCCCGGGATACTTCCTAACGAACAGGTAAAGACTGACCTAGAGTCCGGGATCTCAGGATACTTCTAACAGAACAGGTACGAAAATGACCCAGAGTTCAGGATCCCGGATACTTCCTAACGAACAGTAAGGAAATGACCCAGAGTCCGGGATCCCGGGATACTTCCTAACGGAACAGGTAAGGAAATGACCCAGAGTCCGGATCCCGGATACTTCCCTAACGGAACAGGTAAGAAAATGACCAGAGTCCAGGATCCGCGTGATTATTTACCTAAACGGAACAGGTAAGAAAATGACCCAGAGTCCAGGATCCCGGGATACTTCCTAACAGAACAGGTACCCACAACCCATGATCTTGTATATACAGGATATGTCCCAACCGAACAGCTACGCATGACCCAGAGTCTGTGAGCCCGTCTGTACGGGATACCTGCCAACGGAACAGGTACCTACAACTCATGATCCCATACATACAGGATCTGTTCCAACCGAACAGGTACTTATAACCCAAAGTACGCGATCCAGTCTCTACAGGATACTTCCCAGCATAACAGGTACCTACAACCCAGGTTCCATGATTCTGTCCATACAGGATACTTTCCAACGAAACATGTACCTATAACCTAGAGTCTGTGACTCGTTCATACTGATGAATAAGTAACATATAGCTTTAACCCGGAATCTGATGCGATACACACAGAGCCCATCACAAACTAACAGGTAGATTTAACCCAGGTTCTTATGCCATATATATAGGACAAAGTAAGAGGTAGCATTAACATTGAGAGTGATGCAGTCGATTTATGGTGCAGCCCAATGAAAACTATAAATGTGAGCCTATACACACAGGGTCTGGTCCGATGCAGTAGATAGAGTGCGATTTTGTACACATGGGGTCAGTTCATGTGAAGCTGTAAGATGTAGATTAGGGTGTTTTGTGAAACGCTATTTTATTCAGTGCTGTGGCACAGAGGGTAATTTAAGTAGTTTCTGCACTGCTATTTTCATTCAACGTAATAAAAACTGCTCCAATTTTGCCTGAATACCATGTTTCTATTGTTACAGGTCGTGAAAACGTCACCATGTCACGTATACGCAGTGTAGAAGGTATGGCCATCGACTGGGTGTCACAGAATCTCTACTTTACGGACCGTTACCACTCCACATTGACCGTACTCCGGATGGCTAACTTCACACAGAGATCAGTCCTCATGTCTAACCTGAAGAAACCAAGAGCTATAGTTGTTCATCCAAACAAAGGGTAAGTAGTACTATGAGTGCATGAGCCTTCAATAGCTGATCTAATGTGCGATTTCCATTCGGAGGAAGGAGTTGATGTATGTATAACTCAAAACGCAAATGGTTATGGCTAATAACATTGGGTAATGCAATTCTTCAAGATGACATATCAAAAGGAAACGTTTATATAATTGTTCACAAGGACACATCGTGTGTAAATTGCAACAAAACGGCATTGCTTTGCGTGTGGCTGTGTATTTAGCTCCCTTATTATACGTGGAAAAACAGGGTGACGTGTTAAATGCAAGTAAGTATACTGCGTTTCAGCACTACATGAGGGTAGTTAAAAAACTGCTTCATCACCATATCCAACAGCAAACTTTTGCATTGTATTTATAATTTATGTTATTTTCTATACAAAGTAGGACAACAACAAAATTACATTTCTTGCCTTGAGATTTGGCCTACACACGTTTTTAGTCGATTGTTTCAAGCAGGAAGCGTTCCTTAGACTGCTTCCAAATCACTTTGTTCCAGCAGTGTATGACTGATAGATTGGTTCCGTGCAAAAGTACATGAGGTATTGACGGCTGCAAGAATGCTTAGGATGCATATTCAATATGCAAAAAATGAAATATTTTGATGTTTTATTTGGTGTTTATAATGAGGTAGGGAGTCTAACAGAATAATAATAATACACATAATGCTAGTCACAATGCTTACGTAGGCTGTTTTACGTAATGAACGCAGATGTAATGTCATGTAATTAAAACATTTCACACTGTAAAATTTCTAGGTATAATAGTAGCTATAAAAATAGCATCCAAATTGCGTATAACAGGCACTTAACTATATAATTTACTGTGTAACTTGTTCTGTTCAGTCTCTTCTAAAATGTCACCAACTACTACTATTAGAAATCCCAATGACCTTCAAACTCTGTCTGAGTGTGGTGAGATAATAGCCTCCTTCTATTCGTAAAGGTTGTCTCAAGGCTAGAAAACTTGTTTGTTAATAGTAAAGTACTGACTGAAAAGCATTGAATGAGTGATTGCTTGTGCATATAGGGACTGAAATACATAGTACAAATCGTCTTGCAATTTCATAGGATGCAATTTCGAAAGACTAATGCATCGGTTCCTTATTCTTCAACAGTCTAATCATTTTAATTAAACCTAATCTTTGATGTTTAGGCACTTATGTAATAGTAATTGCACACTGTTTAAATGGTTAGTGCCATGGTACTGTGGTTATAGGCTACAATCATGTAATCTTTTATTACTGAAATGTCGTATCATACCAGGTCCATGCAAAACCGTTTGTCATACTCTATCCTCAGTCTACAGGGTTTTGCGATTTGGATGTCGCCAAACCATTAATTAATTGGTGATGCACATATAACACATATTGAATGGAAACACTGAACCTAGGTGCATTTAGTCCACAACATAACATGGCATCTATATCCACCACTGTAGCTAGTTAAACGAAACGGTCATGTACAGCATTGCACAATATTTTAGTCAGGATTAGGCAGTTTGTCTCGGTAAGCGATGGCGAGCTAACCATTGCTAGGCGTGGCATACTATCACACCTACATCCAGCACTGTTGCTCCAAGAAACGGTCGAGAAACGGTCACATACAAAGCTGCGCAGCATTTACTTGGTTATATAGACATTTGGTCCCACTGCCGCGTCGTCATGTCAATTGTCGCTGGGCGTGACATTGCTCCCAAGTCTACAACTGTCACTTTGGCATGCCTCTCGCGTGTAGAACTCTGTTCCTCCTCCTCAGTTACGTCCACGACTGTTGCCTCAGCGTGCCTCCCATGTGTAGAACTCTCCGTTCCTCCTCCTCAGCATGCCTCCCATGTGTAGAACTCTCCGTTCCTCCTCCTCAGCATGCCTCCCATGTGTAGAACTCTCCGTTCCTCCTCCTCAGCATGCCTCCCATGTGTAGAACTCTCCCCCCTCCATCGTGTAGAACCGTCGCGTTCTCGCTCCTGGACAGCATGCCTCCATGTGT